TGAAAGGAAGAACCCTTTCTTTTCAGGCCTTGGTCACCATATAACAAGGTTAAGTCCTTTGTTGGAATGTTGAGTGAGATAAATAGAAGTGCTTGATCTGTCACTATCCTTTACAGCCCTATTCTAGAGTAACTAAGATGCATTGCAGACAGCATTCTCCTCTCTGCAGTGCCTTTGACCTGCCTCCCATGACCTTCATCTTAAAGAGGAGTCAGAGTGCAGTGTCTTCTCTCCAAAGCTGACAGACTATTGTCAAGAGTGGGAGCTTCTGAACCACCCCACTGTCCAGACTTGTTTGGCAACATGTCTGGAGCTCATAGTTCACTAGCCTCCTCCCTTGATTTTTTTTTGTAAAAAATACTGTACAGAGGGGTTACAGTTACATAAGTAGGGAAATGAGTACATTTCCTATCGAGCATTGTTACCTCCTCCTTTGTTTTTCCCCTACTATCCCTTCCCTCCCTATCTCCCCAACTCCTCCCTCCACACACACCCCCACCTGAAATTGTAAAGTTTGTTTTCAACATAGTGTCTTGTATATCTCACTGTTACAATGGGTCAACCTGTATCCTTATTTAAGTATTTTGTTATATCCCTTCCCCTCCCCAAATTATAAAAATGTGTATACAAGATGCAGGACACCAGAATCAGATACAGTGAAAACAGGGGTTATACCATGGGGTAAGAACATACAAAAGAAACAAAAGAATCACATAGTCCGTTATAAGTAGGTTAAAAACAATAGCAAGAGCTGAACACATATATGGTATATATGTGCATATTGGAGGGAAACTAGGAGAAGGACACAGGACAAGAGGGAAATGTGAAAACTTACAAAGTGGGACCCATCAACTGCACTGGACGAACCAAGCAACTCAATGGCTGCAATGGAGGGAGGGATTGAGTGGAAAAGAATGCAAAAGGAAAGGAATGTACATATCACCCATGTGGAAAAAGTAACTGTATAGTCAAAGTCCATAGAACTCATAAACTTTATACCATGATAGACACTTTGCCCCAAAAGGTGACTTTAACTAAGCATCACTATCCCACAATACTGTGAAATTTGTGAAATTATATAATCACTTAATCTCAAAAAAATTGCAAAAAAATAGCAAGGAATAAAACCACTCATGTCCCTGTCTTGGGGTTCATTTCACTTAACATCATCTTATATGGTCATATGTAGCTTTTGACCTTTTCTGCTTGTTCTAGACATGTACTGGTTATTGCAAATAAGGTAAACCATGGGACCTAATGTTTCTTTGGGTCTGGCTTACTTCACTTAGTATAATTTTTTCCAAGTCTTTCCATTTCCTAACAAATGTTCTCCCTTGATCTTGTCCTCAAATTCTGTGAAACCACATACATCAATACTGTCCTTCCAACCCAAGCTCCTCCACCCCTCCATAGTATTTGCTCTATCTCAGGACATATAGAAGTATGTCTTGAGGTCCCAAGTGTCAGGACTGTATGACTGCATGACTGCAAGTGGGGACTCCCCTCTTCCTACAGAGACAGGAACATCTTCCCTAGTCACATAAGTTGACTTTATCTGTGTTCATTTGCTATAGACCTGCTGTCTAAAAACAATAGAAATTTATTCACTAACAATTCTGAAGGCTATAAATCCAAAATTAGTTTTACAAGGCCAAACCAGTCATGGTGTCAGAAGGCTGGAACTTGCCAGAGACTACAGAATAGATTCCATCCTTCCCTTATCCAGTTTCTGGTGACTACCAGCATTCCTTGGATTATGGCTACAACACTCCAGTCTTTTCTTCCATTATCACATTGTCTCTTCCTTTTCTGTAGTCAGTTTACTTGTATTTCTTCATTATGAGGATACTTATAATTGATCCACCTAGATATTCCAGGATAATCTTTAAGATTCTTGGCTTATTCATGTCTTCAAAGTCCCTTTTTCCCTAGAAGGTTGCCTTAATAGGTTCTAGTGACTAGGAACTGGGTATCTATGGGATGTGCTTCTTATCCCTTAGGAAAAACCTCCAAGCACTCCTGAATCAGACAGGGCAGGTATTAGACTTGCTTTACTATTAAATATAGAGGCAACAAAATACTTATTCCCAAACAGAAGTGAGATAAGGCTCAACTCTAAATGCAAAGGCCAGTGAAGATTTAGATCTAAGGAATGGACTAATAGAAGGGCAATTACTATGGTAGTGGAATTCTTGATAGACAAACTTAACAGAATTTCCATGGAAACCAATACAGGATGGATCATATAACTCTGGTGAAAGATAAATAAATTTAGGAGATTTTAAAGGTGTCAAGAATGACCCAACAACCCTACTCTAGGGCATTTAACCAAATGACCACAAATAAGACCACACTAAAGCTATAAGCACAACTATCTTCATTGCAGCATTATTTACCATTACTAAGATATGAAACCAACCCAGTGGTGATACACACACGCACACACACACACACACACACACACACACACACACACACACAATGAAATTTTATGCTTCCTTCAGAAAGAATGATATTGGCTCATTCCTAAGGAAATGGAAAGACTTGGAAATAATCATATTAAGTGAAGTAAGCCAGACCCAAAGAAACATAGGATCCATGGATTCCCTTATTTGTAATAATTATTATATGTCCTAGCAGAGGATCACAATATCTCAACAGCTATGCACATATGATCATATAAAATGTGCTAACAGAAATGAACTCCAATGGAAATGAACTCCAGGATATGGAAACAAGAGCTGTGTGTGTGTGTGTGTGTGTGTGTGTGTGTGTGTGTGTGTGTGTGTGTGTGTGTTTTGTTTGCAGTTATTTTTTTCATTCTTTTTTAATGCTTTATCCCCTGTTGTCATTTTTTTTTATTTTGATATCCTTAGTCTTGTATATAACTTCATCTGATTTGAGGAATGGAAGGGAAATCACAAAAATGGTGAGACAAAGGACAAACAGTGAACCAATGCAACAGTGATACTCACATGATACTATGTTAGAAATGAACTTCACAACTTAGGGGGGAGGGAAGTCAGGGGGAGGGAAAGCAGGAGAAAATGAGGAGGAGGTTAACACTGTTTAACAAGAAATGTACTCATTACTTATGTAACTGTAACCCCTCCATACATCAACTGTACAATAAAATTAAATTTAAAATAGAAAAAAAATAGAGAGGCAACACAGACTTTTGGGGCAGTGTCAGGACCAAGCTGAAGGCCATTGGCTTCAAGTCCAAACACCTCAGATTCCTGCCATTGAGAGCCTTGGGCTGCATAGAAAGGACTGTAGTGTTTGAGGCTCTTCCAGGTACACAGACCATCAACTCAGATAAGCCCCAGCATTTTGAGCCCATTCAACTAGACAGGTGATGTGGCCACCACAATGCAGACAGAAGCACCTTGTCTTGCATGGCCATTTGTGGAGCTTTGGGGATGGCTGGCATGTATGGGGAAATTAGAGTCCTTGCCAGAGCCCAGGGAAGAGGTATATGAAGGTGCTTTTCTAGGATGGCATGTAAGGGCTCACCTTCATGCTAGAAAGTATGGCTTCTCCACTGGTAGCCAGGCCCTGCTTCATACCATGGAATGAGATGGTTTTCCATCAGACTCTGCCACCAGGCTCAGTAGGAACTGCTGCTTTATTGTCTCGCACAGATGAGCTCAGCTATGGGGGAAATGCGGCTTGGGTGGGTAGGTTCTGCTATTTGATGGGGAGAGATTCTACCTCCAGATGACAGAGTAGAACCCAATAAACCTCCACTGAGCTGCCCAAACCTTCCCAGTGGCGCCAAGTTGTGGGACATACCTTGGAAAACATGTTCTGGTTGCCCCAGAGCCAGGGCCAAGAACGTGGCTACCCTGCTCCATCTGCCAGCTGAGGGCACGAGGTTCCTTCATCAGATGGTTTCAAATAGAATGAGTGGACTAGTATGGAACAGTTTGTGAATAGAGCTGCCCTGGAATTGAGAGAGCCCAGAATCCAAACTGTAGATCTTTCTTTTTTCCCAAATGAGTGTCTGGAAAGGAAGGGCAGGCACTCGGCTGGTCTTTGACAGAAAGGTCTCAGGAAGCCAAGAGGTAGGATCCATTTGGTGGTTGTCCTTTCTGTCACTTCCACAGTCCATTAGTACAAGGACAGGAAGAGCATGTGCCTTTAGGTGTCACTAATGACTTAAGCATCATTCTGCCCAACAGAATCCTCTTCTCAGCTTGTATTTATTTTCTCATGCTGCTGTGGCACACCCAAGACCACCTGAGGCATGCTGGGACCAGGCTGGATACACATGCTGGCATGTGTGTTCTGAGAATGCAAAGAAGAAAAGCTACAGCCCTTGGTGCTTATGCTGTGGTTTGGGTAGGCATAGGAAGAAGAAAGATGTGTAAGCATTGTGAAAACCAGTATGGTGTATGTCTGTAATCCCCGCTATGTGGGATTAATAGGAGGATAACTGAGGCCTGCTTGCCCCAACACATAAACAAAAAAAAAAAACAACATGAAAGCCTATCTGAAAATACTTAACATAAGGGGCTGATGCAGGGCTAAAGTGGTAGAGCACTTTCCAAGCAAGTGTGAGATCCCAAGCTCAAACCCCAGTACTACCAAAAAAATCTTTAGAAGTTGAAATGTCCTGTCATAGAAATACATTCATACTGCTTTGGGCACAGGGTGGAACAGAACAGGAGGATAGAATGGCTTCCCAGTAGAGAGATGGGACCAGGAAAGGATTCTGGAACTTAATTTAGCTCCCAGAGCGAGAGAACTAAATAACAGGAGCAAAGCACAGTGGCATAACACTGTCCCACCATGGGGTCAGTTGATGTCTCTGTAGGAGTAGTGTGCAGGATATGTAAAGGGATTCACAACAGATTATGTCAAAGCCATCTGGGGTCAGTTTCTGTAGGACTGTTAGAAGTGGCCAAGAGTTCAGATGGGAGGGCCAGAAAAGGCTCAAAGATTTGGGGGTCATCATTAGATCATCCTAACCTCTATATATACCCCTTCTCCACCAGGGAGGTGCAAAGACACCCTGTCCACAATCACAGGGCCAACCACACAAAACACATATGGGAGAAATGAAGGCGCCTGGATGAAGGACCCCCTGGCCAAGGACGAGAGGATTTATGTAACCAACTATTACTATGGCAACACCCTGGTAGAGTTCCGGAACCTGGAGAACTTCAAACAAGGTACTGGGTTATGGGTCCAGCTCAGAAAGCCTCTTCCCTGCCCTCCAGGAACCCTGCTGCATCTGGCCAGGCCTCTTTAGGATGATAGCAGATGAGAAAGATGACATCTTTTGACAGAAGGAACTTTCCTGGGAGGAACCTTCCCTGGGAGGGAAGTCCCCCTTCCATACTCCCTCACATTTTCTTTTGGCTCTCAGCTCTGGCCCTCCTTTCTAGCACTTGATAGTTGATAAATCCAGCCACATGAGCACTATAGATTCTGGAAACATGCAGTGAGCAAATGGGAACTGCTGTTTGTGTGACTGAGGCACAGAGTACTTAAGCAACTTCTTGTAGAACACTAGAAAGAACCAGAACCAAGGCACAAAGCCAAGTGTGCAGACCTCTGCTAGATAGCTCACCCCTTCCCAGAAGCTGTAGGTCCCTCTACAGCACTGCCTTGAGCCTCCTGTCTTCTTACCCTACCACAGGTCGCTGGAGCAATTCCTACAAGCTGCCGTACAGCTGGATCGGCACAGGCCATGTGGTGTACAATGGTGCCTTTTACTATAACCGAGCCTTCACCCGAAACATCATTAAGTATGACCTGAAGCAGCGCTATGTGGCTGCGTGGGCTATGCTCCATGATGTGGCCTATGAAGAGGCCACCCCCTGGCGGTGGCAGGGCCACTCTGATGTGGACTTTGCTGTGGATGAGAATGGCTTATGGCTCATCTACCCAGCCCTGGACGATGAGGGTTTCAGCCAGGAGGTCATTGTCCTTAGCAAGCTCAATGCTGTGGACCTGAGCACACAGAAGGAGACCACGTGGCGCACAGGGCTGAGGCGGAATTTCTATGGCAACTGTTTTGTCATCTGTGGGGTGCTGTATGCCGTGGACAGCTACAACCAGCGCAATGCCAACATCTCCTATGCCTTTGACACCCACACCAACACACAGATCGTCCCCAGGCTGCTGTTTGAGAATGAATATTCCTACACAACTCAGGTAGACTACAACCCCAAAGACCGCCTCCTGTATGCCTGGGACAATGGCCACCAGGTCACCTACCATGTCATCTTTGCCTACTGACACCCTTATCCTTGCACAAAAGCATTCGAGGGGCCACTAGCACCTTGTGTGTCTGTGTGTCTGTGTGTATGAGTGTGCAGGTGGATATGTGTTATAAAATATATATTTTGTATAATATTACAAATACAAAATGACAGTTTGGGTCTATTTTTTTTAAATATGGATTGTAGATCAATCCATACATGTATGTGCTGGTCTCATCCTCCACAGTTTATATTTTTGTGCAAATGAACTTCTCTTTCTGACCAGCAGCCACTTTCCTTCATGCCCTATACCCTTCTCACTCTGGGGAAAGGTTTCTTCCCTTGGGTCTTGCAGGCAGGAGTGAAGGAACAAGAAAGAGGGCTGAGTGGCGGGAAAAAAAAATTATGTATTGGAGAAGTTTTAAAAACCTAGAAAAAAGCTTTTTTTAAAAATAAAGAAGACATTTAAAAATCATTCCCCGGTGTACTTTTGTTTAGCAGGGATGCATCTGGCCAAGGCTGGATCCCCATCCTGGCTCTCAGAAGTGTACTCCTGCTGAACTGGACAGTGTCTCAAGTTAGCACAGGTATTAGTGCCCCTCCCTCCCTCCTCCAACCCCCACAGAAGGGCTTGCTGCCAGGAGATTTGCAATGAGCTGGCCCCTGCGTTATTTTGTGACACTTTCTTTTATTTCTCTTCTACTGTCACACCCAAGTTCTTTGCTTACAGTTCTGCTTTCTCTCTGATCATTTTGCCCAAGATGTGGGCTCTATTTGTTCCTTAATTATGTATCACATGCTAAGTATGCCCTTGTTTCCAACTTCTTCAAATAAAAAACTTTCCATCAGCTGGACAACAGTGGCTCCTGCCTGTAATCCTAGCTATTCAGGAGGCTGATATCTGAAGATTGCAGTTTGAAGCCAGACCATGGTAGAAAAGTCCAAGAGACTTATCGCCAATTAGCCATCAAAAAGCCAAAGTGGAGCTGTAGCTCAAGTGATAAGAAGTCCAGCCTTGGTGAAAAGCTAAGAACAAGAGACCCTGAGTTCAAGTCCCAGTATGAGCACACAAAAACATTTTATAACCTATCAGTTCATCTTCTGTTCCTATTATCTTGTCCATTGCTTTTTCTCAAACATCCCAGAAAGGACCTATGCTCTGAAGCAAGGTTTCTGAGGGGCAAGGAAGAGGGGTAGAAAAACTGTAGCTCCTCCATGTGCAGGCTGAGCCTGTACTGTACATGCTGTCTACAATGAGCTTTGTCCTCTCTGCTATACAACAGAAACCAGAATACCCAAAGGAGCCTTGGCTCCCATAAGGCCTGCAGTATGGGAAGGAGACAAGCACGCATGTGGCTGCCCCATTCAGGGAGTGGTTGCTTCCCATCCTTTACGGACCCCAGGCCTGCATCCCGTGCCCATCCTAGTGCTGCTCCCCTTTCCCTAAAGAACAGGTAGCCTATTCACTCTCCATTCTCCACCCATTAGCTTCCTGTACTTACATTTTCAAATAAGTTTCCCTGAATCAAGGCAAGCAGCCATTTGGCTTAGTGGTAACAGAAGTGATAGAGGAAGGGAAATCTTTTCTGTTCATGATCAGAAAGCATCCCTGTCTTGAATCTCAGCAGATATTGGTGGTAGTGGAGAAGCCCATGTTGCTGGTCTTCCTGGCCAGAGGAAAGAGCAAGCATTCCCCTCTTCAACTACTAGCTCTTCTGGGTTGGAAATTAAAGCAGAGATCCAAACCCTGGCTACTGGAGTGAGGGAGGCTCCCTGGAGAGTGGCTGGCTGGGAGGGCGGGGTGGGGGTGGGGGTGGGGTGTGTGTGTGTGTGTGAATTACATCTAGGACTGGAGGTGTAGAGCATTCACCTAGCAAATGTTAAGGCCCTGAATTCAATCCTGATATCACAAAAAAAGTTAGACCTTATAAAGTTAAAATATACACTTACCTGTTTTGGCTTTTAATCTTCAAATCGTTGTGCAAAGACATTTCAGTTTAACATGTCCATTTCCTAAGGTATACAATACATCTTTATCAGCCACCCTTTCCATCATTCTCCCCAACTCATTTCCACCTTTCTCATCAAGTTTCCTTATGCATGTGTATTGAGTATTAGAACTATTTTCTACGCTTCTATCTACATCTCCTAAGATGATATATTTACAATTTCCAGACTCCCAAACAGGACTTGTCCTACTACTCTCCTTCCTTAGACTTCACTGCCAGGGTGCTCAGAGGCCAGGTGGCACGTTGGTCCCTTCACCACCTGTCCCTCATGAGACGCAGCTGACAGCTCACATGATGCCAGAGCCTCCCAAGCTGCCCACTCTTGAGGCTCTACATTAACCCTCCTCAAAGTAGGGCTGGCAGGTACTGTGTAGGAAGGCCTCAGACCTCAGGGTTTCAGGGTAGACAGTTTTCAAGATGGGCTTCAGGGGCAAGTAATCAGGTCAGTAGGAAGGAGTCAAGAGCCACTCAGGCCCCAGCTACTACACAAAATAGTTGGGAGGCCTGACTAAGGAAGATGTGGGTCCCAGAACTGGGCAGCCTGGAGGAGAGTGGGTACAGCAGGGATGAGGCACTCATTGTCTAAGCCCAGAGGAGCTGCTCTGCTCCCTCAGGATCTGTAGGCTCAAGCCAGAGGGCCTTTAATAGGTAAGGGAAGTTCCCCAAGCTGCTGTGGCTCCTTGAATCCTCCTCTTTGTTGGGGTTCACACTCCTACCTCTCAGAGAGTCATGTCAAGGAGCTCTTATTGTTTAGACCAAGGAAGGCACAGAAACAGCCCTCTGGGGAAGCCAGTCTAATGTCTGGATGAATGAGTTGCCTTAAGATCAAATGACCCAATCCAGCTAGTAAGAAAGGTGCTCTCATCTCTCCACCCAGCAATGCTAGAAGGAGAAAGGAAGGTGGGCCTGTAGAGGCAGCCTGTTAGCTGGGTGGTCAAACATGCTTTATCTGAGCTCTCCAAGCAGCTTTCTCACCTGGGACGAAACTTTGGAAACATGAAGACTTAAGAGAATGAGTTCCTCAAGGGGCTGATATACTCCCTCAGCTGCTGTCTACCACAAACCCAAGATCTGTAGCTCTATCCTCACCTCTAAGAGGGGGCATTTTCCAGCTTTCTGACTTTCTGAGTCTTCAATTTCACAACCCTCCATGTAATCTAGGGTGTTTTAACTGTTTGATACTGAAGGGAGAGATTTGCTTTTTTCCTAAGTTCTTCCCAACAACGTCATTTCAAAGGAGTTAACAATTCATCCTTCCATTATTATGCTCACTCAAGTATTTCCAGAGCCCCTTCTGAGGGTGCTGAGTGAACCAGACAAAACCCTGTCCCAAAGTTTCTATTCCAAAGGAGAAGACAAATGCTTGTGATGTGACAGGTGGCAATGAAGTAAAGCAGGGAACATGAGGACAGCTGTTGTAGGTCAGAGGAAGCCAGTCTCACAGAAGACATGTGGGCAGAAACAGCCACAAGCTGAGGCTGGGCTAAGAGCAAAGAACAGATCACAGCAGGACCACCTATGCAAGTGTCACTGAGCTGCCACAAGCCCCGGGATGGCTGGAAGCAGTGACAACAGCCAAGTATGGGGCAGGAAGAAGGTGCATTCTGCTGCCCCTTGATGTGCCAGCATACCTGAACACCACCACATGACTGCTTGTGCCTTCTTGCTACCATTTTTCACCCAGTAAAGATGCTTGAAGAAAATTGTCCCCAGTATTGGGTTCTCTGTTAGGCATTTGTGAGACCCTGGATAAGTGCTTAATTTCCTTGAACCTGATTGCCTGTCAGGAAGGTAGACCCAATGATCTAAGGAATGCAAAGGAAATGTTATCAACAAAATCATCTGTAGCTAAAGTGTTTACCTCAACATCCCAGACCAGCGTCTCTGAACTTTCTTGAAGGTCTCCTGATCTGCCACAAGCTAAAGTGCCCTCCCCTACTCCCTGGGTCTACACAACAGCTCTGCTGTTTTGGCTGTTATCTTGAACAAGATACCAAACTTCTCAGCCTCATTTTCCTCCTTAAAATATAAATAATGGAATCTGTCTTAGAGTCTGGCTGTTTGGGGACATGACAGATATCTAAAGTATAAGGCAGTAGTAGAGACAATATAGACAGTATAAAGTATAGACAGTAGTTTTATGCCAGTTAGTAGCACTTGAACTCAGAGCCTCATGTTCTCAATTGGCTTTTTACCACAAAGTTGGTGTTCTACTACTTGAACCACACCTCTTTTTGTTTTTAATTATAAGAATTGCAATGACACAAAAGTATAACCCACTATCATCACCAAATCATGATAGATATTTTGTTATTTTTTTTCTTTAAAAATTTTTACTGCTATATTTTAAAGTCATTGTGACATTTTATCCCAGCACTTCAGTAGCATACGTTAAGACATTTTTCTACATAATCTCCATGTAATAATTTCAGAGATTCCTTAACATTGACCTACATTTAATTTCCCCAGTGGTCTTGAACACATCTTGAACAATATTTATTTAGCACCTATATATCCCCACTATGACATACTTCTTTCTCCACTGATATGCTACTTCCTCTGGGTGCTGTTAACTTTGTCCTCTCTCCTCTGCTTTTCCTTCACATGGGAGATTAAGTCAAAAGGCTTGCTTAGAATTCATTAGACATTTTTTTGTGGTGCTAGGATTTGCACTCAGAGCAATCTAATGCTTGAACCACAGCCCCAGCTCAGTTAAATTTTTTGGTGGCAAACTTCACAGTAATGCTGGGGACTTGATGCTTAGTATTTTCCATATTCCATATTCCCTAACTTCCTCTGTGAGTCTTGCCATGGTGGTAGAGCGTGTTGCAAAACACACCATAGCTGTTCTTCCTGTCTTCGGAGTCCTCACTACTGACAGGCGCCTGGCTTTGATCATGCCCCTGTAACTATTAGTTATGATAAAGTGTACCTCCAGGGGGGTAATTATTGAGCAACTCAAGTTTTCTTTTCCCTGTCAACACCTTATAAACATATTCAGTGATCCATTCTTCTGTTCCTAGATGAAAACTTGAAGGAACTTTACTTTTCTGGCAACTTTCATGTAAAAAAAAAAAATCCTGTGGTCACTTTAAGACAGATCCAGTTAATTAAAAAGGTCAATTTCAAAATCAAAATGAAGTTGATTTCAGGTTGCTTGCTGTCCAAGCTATGTCCCTTAGTTCTGTTGTAGGCTAGAATCCACCATTGGTGAGGTCAGCCATTCTCCCAGATGGCCTACCCCTCCAGAGGGACATAAGGAAAGAGGGAGAAAGGGAGAAGAGGAGAGAGGCGGGAGGAGAAGGTGAAAAGCAAAGGAAAAAAAATTCTTGACTCTCAAGGCCCTGCTGTTCTAGATTTCCTGGAGTTTTTAAAATAATCTCCTGAGTGCTTTTGTGGGTTCTTTGGGGAGCTTCCTCCAATTTTATTAGGGATGCCTTGCCACTCTCTTCACATGGGCT